CTGTTGTGTTTTTGTAGAATTTATAGTTTTTCAATTGTTGTGGTTAAAAATCCACTTTAGATTTGGCATTTATTGAATCTACCATATTTTATAACATTGTGTATTTTGATGTAAATTGTTCTCTTGTCAGAGATTACCCTGTGATAATGAAAATGACTGAAGTGTGCAGTTTTAGGTTTGACCAGGTGTCAATGTTCAACATGACATGTGATGGTCGATTTAATCTTGTGAATTCTGACACCACACATCAATTGTTTTTCTGAAATAGACCAGGAACAGGTCCTTTAAATGAACTTGTTGCATAAAAACAATTTTTTGACTGTCTGTGTGAGTCTGCAGGAGACTGAATCGACCATCAGGAATGCATGAGCCATACTACGTATGATTTCACTTTGGTATCAGAATCTGCATTAGTGACTATTTTTAGGAATGGTTCCTCAAAATTAAAAGTTTGAAAATATGAACAATACTGGATTATCATTTTTTTTTAATGAAATCTAGATTATGCATGTCACAGTGGATATGGAATGTTGATACGTATTGATACCTTTAGAACTGAGAGCCCTATAGAAGGGGATTTTTATATTCCGATTAGAAAGACTGTTTAAGAGGATGAAGGGCTTTACATTCAACGTATTTTGTGATATAAAATTGCATTCTACCTATCAGAGTTTACAGCCGACAGGTAAATGAGAATAACAAACATACTATTTCCGAGGTAACAGGTCCCAATCATGTTTCCACATAAGAAAGAAGTGAGGTGTACTTTACTGTATGCAGGATGCAAGCCAAGATAATGACGCCTTACAGCTACTACATTATATTTTATCTTCATTATTTCCATCACTACCTTACCAACCCAAACTCAAAATGATGTGAAGTAACCGCTCTCTTGCAGATTTGTCAAAGTAGCTTTAAATATAATTTACTTTTCTTGTAAATATACCTAAATTATATTGAGGAATGTGGCTTTTTGGACAGATAGCTCCAAAGCTAAACTAGTATGATTGGTCTTTTAAGAAAAATTTATAGTGAGTAAACCACTTTGATAATTGAATGCTTCATTCTGCTCCTGTTCAGTAATGGGTTTAAGTATAGCTATGATGTTCAAAAAAGTGAGTTGTCACCAATTCAATCACTCTTTTTAAATTACTATTTTAGCTTTGGAACTACAGATGAATCCTTTATTATCACCTTCTCCTCAAGAAAAGGTATGTTTGCCTTCCTAACACAACGACTGTATGGGGCTTTCTTAGACCAGTAAACAAATGCCTGATCATTTTAACTGGTATTATATTATCAGAAAAAACTGAAATCAACTTGCCCATTTTAAAAGTTAAAAGGAACATAAATTTGTCCTGAATATGTTAACTCTTACAGTTAACTGTTCCTCATCTTTTACCAGGTTTTCACCTAAGGCAAGTCAACTGTCACTAGGCAGTATGTAAACCATCCTGTATATATGATCAAAACTGTGAATATTAAATCAGTGTAACAATTGTCATACTTCCCATAACATGTATGAGAATAGAGAAATATATAAATTTTAAGTTATTGGCCAATTCATTGTTGTAATTCCCATCTCCTTCATCACATTGAGAGTGCAGGTAAGCACAAGAGGGGGAGATCCAATCATCAGGGAGGCCCTTCTTTGAAATTTCCATAAACTTTTAACACATTTTATGAGAAAATATTTTTTTATTTGGCGAAAACATTGAGAAGGCTCCGATTGTCCGAAGCTCGACTGCCCGAAGCTCGTTTGTCCGAACCTAATTGTTTATCTATTTTAGTAAATAAAATGAGTAAAGTAGTTAATTACATTATGTAATTTCATTTAGTGGCAGTTGTTGAAACAAGAGCTAAATCAGGTACAGATACCATCAGGAGGGCAAACGAAGTGCCTAACTGCAGTTCCGGGCCTGGAAAAGGGTAAATGAAATAACTTACGCTATTTCACTAACATAAGTAAAAAATCTTATTTTTGAACAAGTCTTGGTTCGCGCCACGCCGTGGATCGGCTGTAGTGTGCCACGGCTCTTGGATCTGCGATGGGTGGGTCACTTTCCTAAGTGCCGGGCGCGGTATGGGGGGGGGGGGGCGAAATTGCCAAGTTCAGCGGTCTCATAGCGCCTTATAGGTAGGCAACATCTTGCTTGTAGAGCTTGCGTGTATTGCGGGATGGCCTACCCGGAGTCTCGCAGGCGCCGAGCCTCCCTAATTTCTCGGTAAAAAGACAAAAGTCCGCTCGGCACCGTAAATGCTCACGCCCACCTCCTAATCTCCCTCCCCCCAGTAAATTGGGGGAATTTCCCCCTCACACAGAACATCTTGTAAGCCCAGGGCATCTGTCAGTAACGGGGG